AACCCTAGAGAACAAATGGTTTTTGTCAGTTAAAAATAGGAGAGGAAGTTATTAAAGGAGAGTTAAGGTTTTGGGGGAAGAGGGAGGAATTTTTTTGAGGAATTGTTAAATTTTTGATGAAGATGGGGAAGCTGTGATTTGGGTTTATAGGGCAGGGGGAACAACATTTTGTAGGAGTGAGGAAAGACCCCAGTTGTGAGTGTGGGGGAATTTTCTGGGCAGTAGAAAATAAAAGGGGGGAAAGGCAGCCAGGATTGATGGGATAAAGATAGAAATGAAAAAAAGCAGGTGGGGAATTTTTGGAGTGGTTGGTGCATTATTTAATAATTATGGAAAAGGGGGGTAAGGTCCTGGGGATGGAAGAGCGCATTTTTCCCTTTGTAAAAGGAAAGGGGGATAAAAGAGGTGCAAAAATTATGGGGGGAAAAGTCTGTTGACAGGAGGGGGTTGGGTAGACAGAAAACCGCCCAGGGGGTACTCCCGCCCTGCCAAGTGATGTAAAACGAAGCCTGTAATTTTTTTTAAACCATGATGGTAGGATTGCGGTGTCTTTTTTTCGTCTCATGAACATGCAAGATTCAGGTAAGTCTTGCTACTTCCTTACATTTTTGGGCACACTACACATATATGTACAAGCATATATATACACATCCCTCTGGGTTTTCTGCTATTTTCTTTTTAGTTCTTGTTTTTTCCCCTATCTCCATGGGAAAATGGAACGAATTCTTCCCCTGTAAGCCTGCGTGTTGTAAGGGGGACAAAAAAGCCGGGCAAGGGGTAGTAACCCCCCCCTTCTGTATAAATTTCAAATTTGAAAAAGAGAAAAATTTTTTTTTCCTTTTGGGGCCCCCCTGCCTCAATGGGGTATGGCCGGTTTGTTTAAAGAAAAAGAAAAGTCTTTTGAGTATACCTGGCAAAGGTTTTGGGGAGAGTTATTATTTAAAGAATTAAGAGTAAGACGGGGGAAAAGGGTAGCGATGAACAAGGGGGCTTTGGAAAATAGGGGGTGTGTGGACCAGGGGTTTTTTCAGTAAACATACAAGGAACATATTTTAAAAGGCTAAAGAGGTCTTTTTTTGGGATTTAGGTTTGGAAAAGGCGAGACAGGGTGGATGGGGGGGCAATGGGCAATTTTCAGGGGTAGGTGAGGGGGTAGGTTACTGAAAGCAGGAAGAGTTTTTTCGAGGAAGGGGGCTCAAACAATAAAGTAGGAAAGAGGGGAAAATTTTTTCCCCTAAAAAAATAGGCCCTTTGACAAGGATGGTGATGTCACCGGGTTGTTTAATAAATTTTTTAGATGGGTTGTAAGAATAGTAAAGCGAGGGTCTTGGCAAAGGCGTGGATTAAAAGATAAAGAAAACCCCCTAAAGTGGGGTTGTCACAGTTGCTTTGCTGATGACACTGTTTCCTTGGGAGATCCCGAAGAGAATTGCAGAGATTGGGGGATGAATTTGGTAGGGTGGCAAAAAAGAAAATTGAAAGTGAAAACAGGGAAAAGAAGGTTATGAGGATAACAAAAAGATTAGGGGATGTAAGATTGGATATCAATTGGAGGGGAAAAGTTGGAGGGGGTGAAAGTATTTTAGATATTTGGGATGGGACGTGTCAGCGGATGGTCTATAAAAGATGAGGTGAATCATAGAATTGATGGGGGGAAAAAGGGGTTTGAGTGGTGCACTTAGGAGTCTGTGGAGACAAAGGAACTTTGTCCTTGGAGGCAAAGAGGGGAATGTATGAGAGTATAGTTTTACCAACGCTCTTATATGGGTGTGAAGCAGGGGTGATGAATGTTGCAGCGAGGAGAAGGCTGGAGGCAGTGGAGTTTGTCATGTCTGAGAGCAATGTGTGGTGTGAATATAATGCAGAGAATTCGTAGTTTGGAAATTTAGGAGGAGGTGCGGGATTACCAAAACTTTTTGTCCAGAGGGCTGAGGAAGGGTTGTTGAGGTGGTTCGGACATGTGGAGAGAATGGAGCGAAACAGAATAACTTCAAGAGTGAAATCAGTCTGTAGTGGAAGGAAGGCGGGTAAGGGTGGGCCCTAGGAAAGGTTGGAGGGAGGGGGTAAAGGAGGTTTTGTGTGCGAGGGGCTTGGACTTCCAGCAGGCATGCGTGGAGCGTGTTTGGTAGGAGTGAATGGAGACAAATGGTTTTTAAAACTTGACGTGCTGTTGGAGTGTGAGCAAAGTAAAATTTATGAAGGGGTTCAGGGAAACCGGCAGGCTGGACTTGAGTCCGGAGATGGGAAGTACAGTGCCTGCACTCTGAAGGAGGGGTGTTAATGTTGCAGTTTAAAAACTGTAGTGTAAAGCGCCCTTCTGGCAAGACAGTGATGGAGTGAATGATGGTGAAAGTTTTTCTTTTTCGGGCCACCCTGCCTTGGTGGGGAATCGGCCAGTGTGATAATAAAATAAATAAATAATTGTGAAACCTTATAGGTAGGCTTGGGAGGGAGTGATTAAGAGGGCCTTGAACTCTGCTTGGAAGAAACTGTGGCCAGAATGTGTAGACCAAAAGGGGTTTTGAAGGATTTGGAAGCTAACCCTGAGAAGTTTTATGCCAGTTGAGGAATCGATTGTGGCATTGGGGAAGTCCTTGGGTTGGAGGTTAGTGGGGAGATGTGGAAGAGTTGGTGAGGAGGACAATGAAGAACTAACCACTGATGAGCTGCTAGATCATCTTCAACAGCAAGAGGCCAGACCTGAGGAAACTGCTTCGGAGGAGGGAAGAGAGAAATTGAAGAAGTTTCCTACTTCAAAGATTAAGGAAATAATGTGCATGTGGCTTAAAGTGCAAAAACCTTTATGTATGAAAATCACCTTCAGACAGCTATTGCAAGCTTGTGTGGTGACTATTACACTGACAATGTTGTGAAACACTTAGAAATGTCTAAAGGAACGAGAGGTACAGACCTCTATGGACAGTTATGTTGTGCGACAGAAGTCCAGTGACTCTTGAAGCTGTCCCTAGTGGCATTAAAAAGAAGAAGGGAAAGTAACCCCGGAAAAGGACTTGACACCTCGAGTCCTAATGGAAGGGGATTCCCTTCTAGACACTAAGACCTCACCACTCTCCCCTCCTTACCCATTCCATCAATCATCACCAGTCTTCAAATAAAGGTAAGTGTAATGTAACTGTGCATGTCTTCTCGTTTGTGTGTATTAAAATTAAATTTCATGGGTATAAAAAAATTTTTTTTTTTCATACTTTTGGGTGCTTACACGGATTAATTTTGATTTCCATTATTTTTATGGGGGAAAATTAATTCGCTAACGATAATTTCACCTAAACATTAAGCTCTCAGGAAGGATTAATAGCATTTTGGGAGGTGTCCACTGTATTCTAAGCCTTGACTGTATTAGGCACATGTTCAAGCAATATTGTGGTTGTGTAATACACTGTGTTGGAACGAGCACGACAAACTGTAATGGTTAAGGTATATATGCCATCATGTCTGTAAGATTGATGCAGGTTGCTGTGGCAAACCTGTTTGCTTTAAAATAGGAGGGGATAAGGATGCGGTGTGGGAGCCACACGGGGTTGTGTGTGGGGTGATTATTGAGCAATGGAAAGGTTAGTGCATCTGTTGCTGAATAGGGTCCTGCATTTTACTTTATATTCTGTTCTGTTTCAATAAAATATATAAAAAAACCTGTATATATCTTTTTTTAAGTAATGCAGCTGGTGTACGTGTATATATCAAGTAATGCCAGCTGGTGTCGTGTATATATCAGGTAACCCCAGCGGTGTACCTGTATATATCAAGTAATGCCGCTGGGTACCTGTAAATATCAAGTAATGCCAGCTGGTTGTACATGTATATATCAGTAACCTTCAACTGGATAGTACCTGAGTATATATCAAAGTAAACGCCAGCTGGTGTACCTGATATGTCATGTAATGCCAAATGGTCTGTACCTATATATATCAAGTGATGCCAACTGGTGTACCTGTACATATCAAGTAAATGCCAGCTGGTGTACTGTATATATCAAGTAATGCCAACTGGTGTACCTGTATATATCAAGTAATGCCAGCTGGTGTACCTGTACATATCAAGTAACGGCCAGCTGGTTTGTATCTGTATATATCAAGTAATGCCAGCTGGTGTACCTGTATATATCAAATAATGCCAGGGTGTAACCTGTATAAATCAAATAACGCAGCTGTGTACCTGTATATATCATTTATATTAGTAAACATCTGTTTATCAGATAAGTGAAAGAATCTCCACATAATCGGATTGATCTGTCACTAGGTTACTATAAATTGTTTTTTATTTTTTTTTAATATACAAGAAAAGGCACAAGTACAGTGTATTAGTTAAAAAGTCTTCTGGATACTGGAGACAAACTGGTACTGAGTCGATGATAGCTTGGTATAAAAACTAATGGTAAATCTAATCTAATTCCAGATATTTTTAATTAAAGCATTACACTCGGTTAGATTATTTAGTGAAAGTAGAGCAGGGGACACTGGTCTGCTCTGTCTTCATGCACTCTCTCCAAACCTGCCAGAAATTATTATAAAATACTGAGAATGCAAATTAAATATCATTTACTCACATACATGTGTGCACGTAGCCAACCTGGCTCATGTGCATGTGGAGGCTGGCTCACGTGCACGTGGAGGCTGGCTCATGTGCACGTGGAGGTTGGCTCATGTGCACGTGGAGGTTGGCTCATGTGCATGTGGAGGTTGTCATGTGCACGTGGAGACTGGCTCACGTTGCACGTGGAGGTTGGATCATGTGCCGTGGGAGGTGGCTCACCGTGCGCGTGGAGGCTGGTTCATTGTGACGTGGAGGTTGGCTCATGTGCACGTGGAGGCTGGCTCATGTGCACGTGGAGGCTGGCTCATGTGCACGTGGAGGCTGGCTCACGTGCACGTGGAGGCTGGCTCACGTGCACGTGGAGGCTGGCTCACGTGCACGTGGAGGCTGGTGCTAAGTTATGTAAGAAGGCTGACTATTATCTTACCTTAAAGAGAATATTCCCCTCCTGCATCTGTGCCTTTCGCAGGCGGACCATGACGTCCATCTTGTGTCTTTCTATGGCCTTGAGGAGGTTGTCCCTGCTGATGGGCGTGGTGGTGGTGATGTTGGGGGTGGGTGTGGGCGTGTAGGAGGGTCGGGGGGTGGTGGTGGTGGTGGTGGCTGGGGTGGGTCTTGACGTCGAGCATAGAACCTGGGTTTTCCTGCTCGAACCTCAATCTCTCGCACTTCTATAAAGGGTGAGGGAAGAGTACTTTCAGGAATATTGATATACTATTTGTTTATAATATTTTTGATGGATTTGGAAAGAGCTAGATATTGGTTTGTAGCTTCTTATGTTGGTGGTTAGTGAGTTAGTTACTTTGACAGCTTCATGCTCACTCTGACCCTCTTCCCTATACCGTGTATAAATTGCTTAATAATAAAGTAAACACATGAAATTGACTCACTGTAATGGAGTGCTCTGCTCGCGGCAGTGTAGTTGGTAGTGAGGGGCTGGTAGGTGTTGGCATCCACATAACGCCAGTACTGAACCCATAACAGGTACAGGTAGGCACTCATACCCAGGAACACCAGGTGGAGGAATACCCACACGCCCAGACCCACTACCCGCATCCTGAAGCCGCTCCTCCACCGCCACGCCTGCAACCCTGTCTAAGACGCGACAGAGGCGCTCACACACACATAAATAGCAAGACTACAATAAATGTTAAAAATTTTGATAATTTTCCTGTGATCTGTGTGCAATAAATGATGGGGATAATAGTATTTATAAAATCTCGTGTAGGTGTGTATCTTTTATGTGACTTTTAAAAAGTCTTGTGGCTCTCTTTGCATTGCAACCCACTATTGTAAATACAAAATCTCAATGTACTGTTTGCAAAGACATAAAATAAATAAATAAATAAACATGACAATCAATATTCTCTGTAATTTCCTTATACATGTATACCGTAAGGAGTTGTTTAAAGCTAAAATAAAGGAGACAATATAAAAGGGACTAAAATAATTTGTGGTGAACAAATAAAGTGATGATCAAATAATGGAGCTTGGGAATATGATAGTAGGTAGTACTTTAAAGGTAATTCTTTAAAGTTAGAATTATAATATAAAATTATAATATAAAAGGGACTAATATAAGTTGTGGTGAACAATAAAGTGGTAATCAAATAATTGCACTAAGGTCTAATATAATGACTTTTGTGGAGTCTATGTTTTGAGCTAGAATGAGCTATAGTACAACTAGATTTAATCTAATAATATAACAATACAAATTAGTGCCAGGAAGGAAAAAAAACTGGCAGGAAATGGCAGAAATCGTACACCAAATCCAGTCATTCCTGGAGTGGAACCACAGTCGATGGCCCTCCACTCCAAACCAACAGATACAGATACTAATGCCGGAAAAAAAAATCCCCCCCCAGTACCAACAATACCACCAGTCCGATAACATTCTTCTTTGCAAATATACAGGGTCTAAAGCCAGCCCAACAAACAACAAAATCCTTTCATCCGTGGACTGCTTGCAGAGGCAAAGGCAATGTTCGCGGCTTTCACTGAGACCCACATAAAGGATCACTTGGACAATGAAATATGGATCCCAGGTTACAACCTATACAGATGTGAAGAGTGAACAGGAAAAAGGGGGGGGGGTTGGCCTGTACTTGCGAGTCATTTTTTTTTGCACAAATGCTTAAATGCCTCAAATGACGTAGTGGAATTTTTAGAGTAAGGTCGAAAACCCAAAACCCCTGTATTGTGGTGTTACAAGCCTCCGGATGCAACACCCCAGAAATTCCAGGAACAGTGTTTAAAAATTGACCACTGTCTGGAAATCTTCCAGCTCCTGCACCCAACATCTTGCTCCTGGGGATTTCAATTTAAGGCACCTAAAATGGAGGAATATAGCAATTAATATTGTTGCAGTAATAACACCAGGAGGCAGCTCTGATGAAAACTCACACTCACACGAGCTTTTAAATCTCTGCAAAAAATTAAATTTTAAAACCAGCAAATAATAGACCCTACTAGACTGGAGAATACATAGACCTCATATTCACTAAAAAATGATGATCTGATAAAAATGTCACCATATCAAAAAACAATATACTCAGATCACAAAAATAATTGAGGTTCAGACATGTATGCGAGGAGCCCCAGACCGACAAATGAGATTTAGTCACGGGGAGCATTCACCAAATTCAACTTCAATAACAAAAACATAAAGTGGGACCAAGTAAACCAAGTCCTAACCGATATAAGCTGGGAAGATTTTACTAAGCAACACAGACCCAAACTTATCCCTAGAACGATTAACTCGTGGCACTCGATGTATGCACAAGGCTTATTCCTCTAAGAAAAAGGAGGAGTAGATGTAAAATAGAAAGAGACAGGCGCTCCCTTTACAGGCGACGGAAAAGAATAACAGACCCGGCTAAAGAGGTCAATAATCTGAAATGCGCAGGGAGACACTGGTCAGAAAATAGCAAGCATCGAACTTAGCTAAAAGAATCCTTTGGGGAGTAAAGAATCGCGGGAAGAACTAAAAGCCATAAATGAAATCGAAAAAAAACCCCAAAAGTATTTCTTCTCCTATGCCAAATCAAAATCGAGAACAACGCCCAGTATTGGGCCCCTACTTAAACCAAGATGGGTCCTACAAGATGACAGCAAGGAAATGAGTGAGCTACTCAAGTCCAATATGACTCAGTTTTTAGCAAGCCGCAAAACAGACTGAGAGTCGAAGATGAAATGAATTTTTTTTGAGAGAGCCACAAAATTTGATTAACACAAGCCTATCCGATGTTTTCCTGACGCCAAAATGATTTTCGAACAGGCGATAAATGATATGCCCATGCACTCTGCCCCAGGGCCAGACTCATGGAACTCTGTGTTCATCAAGAACTGCAAGAAGCCCCTATCACGAGCCTTTTCCATCCTATGGAGAGGGAGCATGGACACGGGGTCGTCCCTCAGTTACTAAAAACAACAGAATAGCCCCACTCCACAAAGGGGGCAGTAAAGCAACAGCAAAGAACTACAGACCAATAGCACAAACATCCCATATCATAAAAATCTTTGAAAGGGTCCTAAGAAGCAAGATCACCACCCATCTAGAACCCATCAGTTACACAACCAGGGCCCAACAGGGGTTTAGAACAGGTCGCTCCTGTCTGTCTAAACTACTGGATCACTACGACAAGGTCCTAAATGCACTAGAAGACAAAAAGAATGCAGATGTAATATTAACAGACTTTGCAAAAGCCTTCGACAAGTGTTTGACCTGGCGTAATAGCGCACAAAATGCGCGCTAAAGGAATAACAGGAAAGTCGGTCGATGGATCTATAATTTCCTCACTAACAGAACACAGAGAGTAGTCGTCAAAAGAGTAAAGTCCGAGGCAGCTACGGTGAAAAGCTCTGTTCCCAAGGCACAGTACTAGCTCCCATCTTGTTCCTCATCCTCATATCCGAATAGACAAGGATGTCAGCCCGCACCGTGTCTTCCTTTGCAGATTGACACCCCAATCTTTCATGACAGTGTCTTCCATTGCAGCACTGCAAGGCTCCAGGCGACATCAACCAAATCTTTCAGTGGGCTTTCAGAAAACAATATGAAGTTCAACTTTGAGAAATTTCAATTACTCAGATATGGTAAACATGAGGAAATTAAATCTTCATCAGAGTACAAACAATTCTGGCCACGAAATAGAGCGAAAAAACCAACGTCAAAGACCTGGGAGTGATTATGTCGGAGGATCCACCTTCAAAAGGGCCATAACATTGTATCAATCGCATCTGCTAGAAAAATGACAGGATGGATAATGAGAACCTTCAAAACTAGGGAGGCCAAGCCCTGATGACACTCTTCAGGTCACTTGTTCTATCTAGGCTGGAATATTGCTGCAACTCTAACAGCACCTTCAAGGCAGGTGAAATTGCCGACCTAGAAAATGTACAGAGAACTTTCCCCGGCGCCATAACGGAGATAAAACACCTCAATTACTGGGGGCGCTTGAGGTTTCTAAACCTGTAAATTCCCTGGAACGCAGGGGGGAGAGATACATTTATTATATACACCTGGAAAATCCTAGAGGGACAGTACCGAACTTGCACACCGAAAAACACTCACTACGAAAGCAAAAGACTTGGCAGACGATGCACCATCCCCCCAATGAAAAGCAGGGGTGTCACTAGCACGTTAAGAGACCATACAATAAGTGTCAGGGGCCCGAGACTGTTCAACTGCCTCCCAGCACACATAAGGGGGATTACCAACAGACCCCTGGCAGTCTTCAAGCTGGCACTGGACAAGCACCTAAAGTCAGTTCCTGATCCCCCGGGGTGTGGCTCGTACGTTGGTTTGCGTGCAGCCAGCAGCAACAGCCCGGTTGATCAGGCGCTGATCCACCAGGAGGCCTGGTCACAGACCGGGCCGCGGGGGCGTTGACCCCCGAAACTCTCTCCAGGTAAACTCCAGGTAGCACCAGTCTCTCACTAGTAATTGCAATATGGTCTAATATAATGAATTTGGTATTGACTATAGTACAACTGAGTTTAATCAATAATAAAAAAAAGGCCAAGACTCTCAATTGTAATTGAAAGGGTGTTATATAATTTTTTTAAAGAATTGGGTTTAAAACAAGTTTAAATTGACAAGATAAAATATATAATTTAAAGGTGGGCAAAAGAATAAAAAAAGAAAAAAAAAAATAATGAGGTAGTTGGTAAAGTTAGCAAAAGATATTAAGGCCTTGAAAAATAATATAATTGAAATATACACTATTTGCACACACTATATAGTCAAAGATATGAAAACAATTTTGAGTGGGAATTAAAATATAAACTTATAATATAAAAATACAAATTAAAAAGGTACTTGCAATTGCACAGAGTCTGGTATGGTTGTTACAAGTAAAGGGAGTAAAACTAGATTTAAATTGACAAAATATAATTCACAATTAAAGACCAAAGAAAAATAGAAAAAAAAAAAGGGAAAATGTCGGGGTTAAATATGAAGTAAAAATGTAGACAGGTAACAGTACAAAGGGAAAAAATTTAAGGTTGGAGTTGAATATAAAACTTGAAAATTTGGCAAAAAATTTTTGGGGAAATAAAATAATGTTTAATGTACAAAAGAAAATTGCGGGAGTAAATAGGTTTTTAATAAAATTTTAGAAAAAAAATGATTAAAAAAAAGTGAAAAAGTAATTTTATTCATTCAATATTGCACTGGTTTATACAGAGGTTATATGCAGCAAAAGGTAATTAAGAGTACTCAAGATAGTAAGTGTGGTATTAAAAAGGAAAGGTAATTAGACAAAAAGGGTTTTAAAAAGTCAAAAATTTTAAAAGGAAAATTTAAAATTATAGTAAAAATGATAATTATAATTTTAGTAAGTAATACTTTTTATGATTTAAAAAAAATAGAGGTAATAAATGGACGAAAAAGTATCAATTCAGAAATGTTTAAGCAAACAATGTAAATAAGAAAATTTAAAAAGGGTGACTTATGCTTACTAAAAAAATCCAAAATGGGGTATTGATTTTTTATTACTAAGAGATTGTACAATGAAATTTGAACTTTAAGGAGCAAAATTTTCCTACATACTGGTTTTGGTTTGGGGACATTGTTTAGTTTTCTCTTAAGTTAGTATCCCGAGAAATCGTGAGGTGTACAGTTGCCCTACTTTTTTTTTCCCCTAACAAAAATTTTCCCATCTGTGTGAGCTTGGTGTATTGTGTCATTATTTCCCATTTAAATTTTTTCGCTCTAAAAAAGGGGGTTCTGCTTTTTTTTGGAAAGACACTCGTTTAGATCCCTCTTTCTTTACTTTTTAGATGAAAATAATTAAGTCTTTTTTCCTGTCATGTGATTT